GTGTTAATATAAGCATTACAATGCTGCTCGCTACGTATGCAGGATGCCAAATCAATCGATGTTATCGAACGTGTAAGTAAATGAACTTAACAAAATATCCGTATATGAAGAAGAAGGGAGAAGAAGAACGAAGAAAAAGAAGAAGAAGAAGATCAATTGGAAAACAACATTCGAATATATATATATATATACATATGTATCTATATCTATATATATATATATATATATATATATATATATATATATATAAGCTAAATCTGATCCATAGATGGAGAACTGCTCTAATCTATATTTTGATGTATATTCATAGATATAGATATACACCAGAATTCTTTGTTTCATTTGCGAGAAACGAGAAACCCTTTGCAGCGCCTGCTTTGATTGGCGCTCGATAACGCTAAATGAGCTTTCATCCTACTTGCGTAAAGACCAAGTGACCACATGTTTATCATTTTTTTGAGGGTCGTCATGATGTTTCGAATAGCAAGTCGCCATAGTTGTAGAATAACATTTCTGTTCTTATAGATAATTATTACTGGAAAGCTTTTATTTCAAGTTTTGCTAGGGAACGTGTACAAAACATGTATGATCAGTCAAAAAGTAACTGCCTAATTAAGCGAAATGAATTGTAGTATTAGCTTATGTATTCTCAGCCAAATGTTATCCTTTTGGTCTATGCAGCGAGCGAGAGTGTTCCTACTTAAATTACATAGGTGAACTGTTGCGGACCTATTGAAACACGAATTATTGGCGCTGTCTTTACTTATGTCTTCTTTGTAGTCTAGGTCAACCATGTCGCGCTTATATTCGCAACTCGTTGATGACTTGCGCCAAGTTTCTCAAAAATTGTTTGAAAAACTAAAGAAAAGGTCTTTATGATTTTTTTGAATGCAAATGTTACATTCCTTCTAAGTTGTACTCTGGAATCGTTCCTTGAGTGTTGTTCTATGAGTAATATAAATATCAACTTTAGTTACAGTGTTACTGGCATTTGTGATCCTATGAATCGTCAAGTTAAGAGGTTTCTAGCAAGATTTCAAAGCCTTCTAAACTGCATCTGCTTAATGGAGAAAAGGCATCATGCATAAATGTGTCTGTATCTTGGCTATTACGATGATGAGAAAGTTTGCACAAAATGATTGGATGGTGCGTATGTAGGAAAATATCCAGAATTTTCGTCGACAGCGGTCAGACATCTACATTTACTCCGGAGTAGTGAGGTAACTTATGTGTTAACTACACATCAACCTTCACGACAGTATCGTCAGACTAGCTGTGATCGTTCTTCTAGAGAAAGCGATAACGGGAAAAAGAGTAATACGAAAACTTAGTGGCAAATTACTAGCCTCCCAAATAACTTCGGAAAGACAGTAGTGAGGTGATGAAAGAAATCAAAAACGACTTTACCGTTTCTTATGATTCGTTAGTCGCTAGCAGAACTACTGGAGCACATATGGATGAATCTAATGTTAGCTGAAGAACGAGAACAAGATTCAATATATGTGGAATGAGTTGGAAATATTATGGTGATGCTTCAGAATTCCAGAAAGTACTAGGTTCCCTGTACTTTGCACTAAACGTTACTTTATTTCTACTACCCTTTTCGCTAGCGAGGTTGTTTGAGCGAATTTCATTGATCGTGAAAGTTTTCCTATGATGTTGTGTTATTCATTAGAGTCATTTCAAATCATTTAAGTTTGATTGCAGAGGGAATTTGTGCGGAAAACGAAAATTTTGCTCCTTGGAACCTTATGTGTTCTCATCATCGTTGCGGTGTATCGATGAGAATTATATTTGATCTGCGATATTGATAATCTAGAAAGCCTGAGATCTTTTGTGATTGTAAAAATTTTCATTTTAGGAGATGTCAACCTTGACCGTTTGGGTGAGTATTCCCAATAATATTTTCTGGTATTCAATTAATCATAGATTTCCGAATGTGAGGCGTACTTTTTTCTTTAAATCATATTTTGGATTGATGGACATTGTTTTAGATATAAAGGAAAGTAAAGGTCTCCTTTATCAATATGCAGATGAGTTGATAATCTCGTCAAATATAACGTAGACCGGATCCCTTGACCTCGACATATCCAATCACTTATAACTTCTTTGTTACAGGGGCCTGTCACAACAATTGGCAGCGTTTCGACGTGCTTCGTCTTTTTAAGAGCCAATAGAGTACTTTGTTTATTTCATTGGTTCGCAATGTGGTCTTCGCCTTCGTTTGGTTCGAGTGGGACCTTCCAAGAGATGGAAGCATCGTTCGAACGTAGAACCTCACTCGGCGAACTTTTACACGTTGAACCGCATGCTAATAAGCCATTTGTTTTAGTGATTAGTGAATCACCTATTGATAAAGATGGCACACCCTAGCCGAATACAGGGTTGAACAAAAGCTCTGGGAATTTCTTGAAAGTTTCGTTTTTATGCTCATCAGCGAAGAAAAGCAATAAAACTACCTATAGAGCTTTCGTTTACAGCTTTGAGTTTCGTTTCAATATGCGAAAAAAATAAGATTAGCACTCTTCAAAGTATAAATCATCAATGTCTACGACTTTCTGCCATGGTTCCGCAAAATTCCGGCTCTGCTCAAGGTACCGGTTCTTCTACTTCAAATCGAGAAAGTTTTCGGGCATTCAAAACGTGTTGTACTATCAAAAGAAGCCATAGTCGGGTGATCTGGACTGTAGGCAGAGTGCGGAAGAACTGCGACGCCGCTCGTTTCTTCATTACTTGTTCTTGGTCTTCTTGGTCGTATTTTTATCACTATTGATGCTCTATATATTCACTGCCAACGCAATATCTGAACTATCAATAAATGACAGCACAAAGATCTCAAAAAATGTAACCTTCAGAAATTTCCAGAATTTTTTGGACCTGATGCAGGAGCGATCCCTTCTGCTGAACGAAAACTTTCATAAGTGTGTTACTATTAATTCAGAATTTAATCTCTGGCTCTACTGCGCTACGTAGCTGATTTTTAAGAATTCTTCATATAATACCGTAGAAGAGCGAAACTCTTGTTTTTCATGTACTCATATTTCTTGCAGGACAGACTTATTTCCTCAAATTTCAGGCTAACCATACTATGGCGTAAGTTTCCACTATTCCAGCGTGCGCTTGATTTTTGGAAGCACCAGTTCCCTGTAGTGTAGCAAGGAAAATAATAAACTTTCTCATATGCAGAGCATTTGTTTGTGGTCTAGTATGCGGACTGGGTGTCCGCTGGTCGTGGATTTTATACGTCGTTCCACGATCGAACGGTCGATCTCCTTGGCGTGTCTCATATGTGCGGTGCAAGCCTTGTTGTTTAATTGTCCTTTTTTCCCGTTTTGGGTGACTCTAGATAAAAGTGCAGCTCTAACACTACGAGATTTCCTTTACACGATCATATGTTCTTCGTGCCTTCAGTGAAGTAATATCAAAAGTGCGAGGCTGGTGTTAAACATAGTTTTGTTTTGAAGCTTACAGCATTTCATAATTCTCGTAATCCATCATCAATTCCATCATCAAAGCTGACAGCGGATCACTATAATCACACAGATTCCGACGGCACTTCTGCAGACTAAATCTTTGCTGCTTCCAACTGTCTTCTGTCGTTGTCGAGAACCCCTTGCAGTCTTTTGAAGATGACATTTGATATTATCCGAACTAAATTTGCTTCACTGGAATCAATCCTCGGCTCCCTTCTCTGTTCGAGCAACTTTTTTGTGGTCATGGAGATGTGATCGGAGCTTCTTGATTGGGCAGCTGAAGCAAACTCAGTTCAGCTTTTGAGTCCTTCGACGAGCAGCTCATAGTCTTCAGTAAATCATCCTAAATCTGCCATTAATGGATGGATACAAGTCCATTCAATACGTTTTCTCTTTAACAGCTTGACGACTTCTTCTTGGTCGAGGACATAACTTCATTTCCAACTTACGGCTGAATTTCTACCGTTCTGAGAAGGCAGTGACTGAACCCTGTGTAGAAAGATGGGATTACGGAGGTGTCGAGAAGGCACTAGCCTTTATTTGTAAACATGTTGTCGATTTCCACATGCATTGGGTGATCCTCATGTCCAGCGACGGTGTTCTGTCTTACGGCAGAATGAAACTCTGTTGAATGGACATGCAGCAGACAAGAACCCTGTAAGAAGATTTCCAACTTCATTTCCTTTTCCTAATCCATGCATACTTGTCCTGTATTTTATTTCGCTTGCCTCCATAATCTGCCGCTGAATGCTCCGATAATGTATTTCAAATACGACTATTTATTGCGGATAACTGGCAGTATGATGATAGATGGGAACGACAACGCCTGCTCCTTCAAGTCTTCGTAATGACATCTTTTCTCCACTGCTTACGTGCTTTTTCATTTAGATAAAAAAATTGTTTTTCCTCTTTTTCGTTTCGTGCACACCAATCACATGGAATTCTCACGCGCGGCTTATTATTGTGGAGAAATGCGTGAAGATCGGTGCGAGTAGAGGGTGTTTTTGTATTTAACGTGCAGAGTAAAGCGCAGTCTCCATGGAGCGCCATTTGCGTGTTTAACAAGTCCTGCTTTATTGGCGTACTGCGCATCTCTTTGTGGCATTTTGCCGGACTGCTTGACATCATAAAGGAGAAAGTGCTGGTTGTGCAGCTTGGATTTTCATTGATTTCTTAGTTCACCTTGCAAAGGCGATTTCAGATCTTCACATTGTCGACTCCAACAAAGTTTTTTTTTGGCGACGAATCCTTTAATCGGACTATGTACTATTTGATTGGGAGATAATGTTAAAGCGGAAATCAAAGAGCAAAAGTAGGAATGGAAATTTAAGAAACCGCTCACGGATGATCTACGAGTTGGATTTTGTCATTCTCACTAAAGTATCAAAATGTTATAATCACGTCATATGTTTTGAGCCTTTGGTGAAGCTGATAAGACAATCAATCAGAATTCTTTTTATTTGACCGCCATATGCGGTGGTATGATGTTACAATATACCATAATGTGGAGTGCTGTTCAAAAACATTTGCGTCAGCCGGGATTCGAACTCAGATCTCACTCTTTACGGGGTGTATGCTAACCGTTACACCATCCACGCTCCAATTTTCAATATGCCTGACAGTCTTTATTTTTGAACCACGCATGTCAGTGGTCTGTCGAGGCGGGCTGACTTATAGAGCATGATACACGTGTTTTGATATTGCGATCTCGTCAGTCGGGCAGTTACCCTTTCTCGTCTTTTCCTAATCTCTGTGGGTGCTCCAGTCCCCACACTATAAGTTAGCGACGACGAACGTTTTACACTCTATGTCCAGTGAAAATCTCACCGAACATATAGTGTTGTACCCTCGAATAATCATTTTTTTTTTGAGCCACGCATGTCAGTGGTCTGTCAAAGAGGCATATTAATTATTCTGATTATCTGATCATCAGGCATATTGAGATTTGAGCTGTGGTCTTAAGAGAACACTCGAATCGAAAGATATGATATTTTGAATATATCAGCCAAGAGCAATCGAGTGTACAATACTCTATGTTCGGTGAGATTTTCACTGGACATAGAGTGTGAACCTTCGTCGTCGCTAACTCTTAGTGTGGGACTGGAGCACCCACAGAGAGTAGCAAAAGACGAGAAAGGGTAACTGCCCGACTGACGAGATCGTAAGATCGAAACACGTGTATCGGGCTTTATAAGTCAGCCTTCTTTGACAGACCACTGACAAGCGTTGCTCAAAAAAAAGAATGATTATCAGGCATATTGAAATTTGAGCTGTGGTCTAAAGAAAACACTCGAATCGAAAGATATGACATCCACGCTCTTTCACACTGCACTCTTTCTAGCCTAAATGGGTGCTGTGCATAACGAGCGTCTGTAAAGTAACGGTTAGACTACGCTCCCGGAAGAAGAAAATTCTGAGTTCAAATCCCGGCTGACGCAAATGTTTTTGCACAGCAATCCACATTATCTGATAAGACACTTATACAGTACTAGACGGGCCCGTTTCGCCTTTACAGGCTCATCAATGGCGCTGTGCCTTTCGTCGGCTGATCCCTTACGTGGTGATATTCTCTTACATATAAAAGAATCGACGCCAAATTATAAATTACCGCGACTCAGGTGATATAATCTTTCGACACTGCAGTGACCAACAATTAAGCTCGTGGCTGGTAAAATGGATCATACTTCTTCGTTCGACTGCTTTTATAAGCCTCGCGAGATCTATAAAAGCAGCAAGACAGAATATTTTGTCGGGCTTCACTAAAAACGATATCCACAACTAACAGGTGTAAAACGATCAAGACACTTTTGAGTCACTCTTAAATGTTACCAATGTATTGGGGGTACATCCACTTTTAATATGAATACCTAGATATATCTCAACCTTGTTCTCCAAATGCAATTTGCCGTTCAATACACTGACGTAGAAGTTGAGGAAGTAGAACACAATGAAGGCTAGATTGGCAGCTCCCAAAAAATTTCAGTAGACTTTGTTAGAACTGAGATATCGAGCAACTTCCGCTGATAAGGTGTAATTACCTCATATAGGTTTATCAATGAGCAACTGTTTAATTATCCAGTTCGAGGTCAAAATAAGGACCTCAGAGATTTTCTTCACACCTTTGCCATTTAGCAGAATTTGTACCCTTCATTTACGAAGAAAAAACCATATAGTGTTGTGGTAGTGTGGCGATTATCGCTATCATGGGGTTGGATTGATCCAATTCAAAAGTCACCAAAGCTTCAATCTATCCAAGTCCGCAAAATTAGTGTTCAACTCATCTAAAGCCAGTTGTCTTTCTTCACGTGCGAGCGCTCTGCCACACTAATTGCAGGACGCTAAGGATAATGGGATCAATTAGCATTCAAGAGACACTTATAAGGAAAACGACAGGTCCATATGAAGCTGCTACAGCACACACGCCAAGATGGTCAAAGGCCTTTATGAATGGTGGATAAGAGGAAATGAAACGAATGCAAGAAGAGCTGTAATCCACGCATAAGATATTATGAAGACGAGTAGAATAGCAGGAAATAAATATTGACCAGGGTTTGGGAATTTGTCATCACACAACCGCTATTATTAAGTCCTCTAAAAAATCCAAATTTCCTGCCTTCGGATCGAAAATTCGTATTTCAAATCAAACTTCTAGGTTAGTACGAATTTGATTATGCGCTTCTGAAAGTGTTTCTTTTTAGTTTTGCGAAAGCAAAGAACGATTGAGTCAGTTTTGAAGAATTAGAAACTAATGTTTTCCGACCAAACATTTTCAAGATTCCTGAATCATGTCATTTGATTCCGAAATTAGATTTCGTGCAGCGGTAACCACGTGCGAAGGTTAGCGACATTTTGACTAGAAGTGATTTCAACTCATTGGTTTTTTCCGTACCTATTGTTTAATCTAACAAGAAATATCTAGTTTGCACAAGTTTTACGCCTAATCCAAAACTATTTGAGCATCCCTGTGGGCAGAACCTAATCTATTCCTTACTTAAATCAGTCTTAGACCACTTCAGCTAACCTACTTATCTTGATGCATTTTGAAAGCGTGATGGATAATATAAAAGCAAATTAGCGCAGTGATTAGTGGTGTACTGCTTCAAAAAGCTGCGTTGTGGTTTGATCCTTTTCTTTTGCAATCATTCAGATGGAAACACCTCGCTCGGTTACCTCTAAGATTGCAAGCAGAATAACTTTTCAAACGTTCACCAGCCTCGTCGAGCCTGACAGTTGCCCCTGAGTGTCAGATTAAGATGCACAGCAGACAATTAATTGCTCCAGCAGGGCCTCTTGAACCGAGGAGGTGCACGATGATACTACTTGGAGAATCAGATGATAGCAAACTATACAGAGAATTACCGCTACTTTAGCATCACTTAGTAGCAACGTGGGAAACGTTTCTTAAATTCACAAGTGTAGGATACGCGGTGTAGTGACAACTTGAAGGAGCCTTCGCATAGATTGATATCTTCGTGCTTCAGGGAGCAACGGTTACTCCAAAGAGATCTCATCTTCGATACTACACGCAATATACGCTCACGTTTACGACGTCAGGCGGTGAGACGTCATGTGAGAAGTGCTCGAATATCGAGATAATTAGACGTCATTGGAAACACACAAAACGAATGCGCCCATGATAGGCTGTGGAGACTGTTTATTGCATTGCATTTGTAGCACTACATATTTTCTTCAGGCGTCTGCCTACCGGCCTTTTCTGGGGGAAGTGGCACACGAAATCTCGTGTGATCGCTCTTCAAGAAGGAAGAGGAAAACCAGTATACGGAAAGTGAACGGCAAAACTCTCGGCATTCGTGACGTAAATTCTCCGTTTTTATATATTGGAGACGTCGGTATTCGTGTGTGTGCATATGTTCCCTATTTAGTCATTTATTGTGATCCCCTATCACGGTTTTGGATACTCTTTTCTCCAACTTTAGCGTCAAACAAAAGCTAAAATTACGAGATTTATTAGCCAACTTCGATTAATGAGGAAAACTGAGCGCTTTGTGAAAATGGAGGTTATCATCTAAGCTAAAGGTCCGTTTGCAAATTCATTGTTAAAGACTCCAATAACAGGAATCAGCGATTGTCGTGTGAGAGGCCTTTTACCAGCAAAACTCACTTATGGATCTCCATATTTTGAGGTGAGAGAGATCTGCCAATGGATGTGGAAATTTTGTAATGTCATATTTAGTAGGGGAATCGACCATATCTTCACAGACAAAAATGGTACCTGCTACATGCTTGAGTGTTTTTGAATTTTCCACTGCATCTGATTACCGTCCTCTAAGCGCACAGATTCGGTCCACTTACAACGCAGAAAAGTGCTACAATCACTCAGTAAAAAAAGACAGAATAAATCGCTTACGGAGAGAATGTTTTCAAAATAATCCTTTCCTTACATGACTCGCGATTAATGAAATACGAGCCAAAGCTGAGTGTTACTTCAATTGATTTTTGGGGTACAAACACACCTTTGCATACAACTATGGTCAATGTCTATTGATGTATTGAAAGAACATGGCCAAAACGTTGGAATTTGTTTTCCTTTTCATCTTCTCTTCCACTACTCTCCAAGAAGCCAATTGAAAAAAAATCTGTTGCCAAATATCCTTCGTGGTTTAAAATTTGAAATTTCCACTCAAAGCACTTCAATGTACTTCAGTATTGTAAGAAATCTTGTCATCTTAGATAATATCGAAATCGCATACTGTTTTGTACCTCTCTCCAATCTGCATATCCGTTGAATGATGGTGATATGAACAATAAAACCTAACGAACCACCAATGACTACCTTCTCGTCAAGAATAGCAAAGAAAAAAAACAGTGCAAGAGCAGGAAATGAGATGTTTGTTAGAAAAGAAAGGAAAATCCTAGAGGCTCGTATCTGTTCAGCGGTAAAAGAGTTAATCAATCTTGCAGTAAATTCATTAACACGAGTGACTTTTTGTGCATTCCTCATATCATGCCCAAAATTCTCCCATCGGTCTATTCAGCAGTAATTGAGGATCTTCTCCGTTGTCCTCACCCTGTTTCAGCCCTCTAGAAAAAAAGTATTCTTTGCTTTTTCTATAGTTTCAAAAGTCATTCGATAGCATGATTCTCGGGAATTTTCATAGTGTTCTTTGTACTTTCGTTACATTGATGATGGCGAAATTGACAAAACGCGCGTCTGCTGAACTGCTGCCACTGGTGAGTCTGTCACAAAGCCGCAAAAAGATTCCTAGTAGCATTTTCAGGGACTATACTTCTTTTCTTAAGTGGCGTTCCTACGACATTGTGACAGCAAAAATAAATTTGTGTTTCACACTTGGGCATTCTTTGTTGAACAGATCTTTTACTCTAAATTATTAGTGATTATTTAATAAGTTGAATGTCAACAATTATGATGATGCACTTAATCTTTGAAAATTTTTTGCTGCGCAGTAATACTAAAAATTAATTTGCATTTCCACGATGCGCATTTATTGCTTCAGTACGTGAATGAATCTCACGGTGTCGGCATCGAGCTCTATCTCTTTAAGAACATCTTACACCCTAGCCGACAAGAAATACGAATAAATGTTCTCAATAGTATCATTGTGTTTATGAGTCTCAC